GTACTCACCAGCAAATTGGTTTCACTGATCAACACCTAAGTAGATGTATAGGAATAACATTTATTGGGTGTCGGGGAGGTGGGGAGGGGAAGGAGGGAATGGGTATATACATACATAATGAGTACAATGCGCACCATCTGGAGGATAGACACACTTGAAGCTCTGACTCAAGGGAGGAAGAGGGCAAGGGCAATATAGGTAACCTTAACGTTAATTTGTATCCCAATAATATGCTGAAATTAAAAAAAGTTCATGATCTATAGTGATACTAAAAAAGGCAGTCATGGTTTCACAGGTATATTATACATTCATCAAATTCATCAAACTGTACACTTAAGATATATACATTTTATTATATGAAAAATATATCTCAATAAAAAGTGTGGGAAAAGAAAAGCTCTTCAGTAGAGAAAAATACCATCTGATAAATGTAGAAGGAATGACAGAACTAGAAAATCATGTAGTTTGCAACACCAACTTAAGAACTAATTCAGGCAAGATCATCAATGAATGTAAAAGCCACTGAGAGGCCGGGCGCAGTGGCTCACACCTGTCATCCTAGCACTCTAGGAGGCCGAGGTGGGTGGATCATTTGAGCTCAGGAGTTTGAGACCAGCCTGAGCAAGAGAGAGACCCCGTCTCTACTAAAAAAAAAAAAAAAAAAATAGAAAGAAATTAGCTGGCCAACTAAAAATATATAGAAAAAATTAGCCAGGCATGGTGGCGCATGCCTGTAGTCCCAGCTACTCAGGAGGCTGAGGTAGTAGGACTCCTTGAGCCCAGGAGTTTGAGGTTGCTGTGAACTAGGCTGATACCATGGCACTATAGCCTGGGCAACAGAGTGAGACTCTGTCTCAAAAAAAGCCACTGAAAAAACATAACTGGACAAAAGGCTATTCACACTGTCTCAGAGTTTATTCTGATTACTTTTATTTTTTTTTTTTTTTTGAGACAGAGTCTCACTTTGTTGTCCAGGCTAGAGTGAGTGCCATGGCGTCAGCCTAGCTCACAGCAACCTCAAACTCCTGGGCTCAAGTGATCCTCCTGCCTCAGCCTCCCAAGTAGCTGGGACTACAGGCATGCGCCACCATGCCCGGCTAATTTTTTATATATATATCAGTTGGCCAATTAATTTCTTTCTATTTATAGTAGAGACGGGGTCTCGCTCTTGCTCAGGCTGGTTTTGAACTCCTGACCTTGAGCAATCCGCCCGCCTCGGCCTCCCAAGAGCTAGGATTACAGGCGTGAGCCACCGCGCCCGGCCCTGATTACTTTTATTACAAAGAGAGTAAGTACTTTATGTTAGAGAAGTCTGATTCGATCTTAGTGTCACCAATAATGAGATATATTGGCATTATGTGCTTCATTCTCATCTATAAAGGTATTAAGGGTTTGGTATTCATTTATATAGACAAAATACAACCCCAGCTGTCAAGGAACACACAATCTAGTGAGGTCACAGATGAAAAAACTATTTCAGCAGAGTATACCAAGTGATGTGACAGAGACAAGAAAGGGAAATAAGGTAACTTCCATAACTTTTGTTTCTTGTTTGAGAGACTATTGCATAGCTGTGCTTGTTGTTGTCACCAAACTAGAAAATATTCAAGGGAAAAAGACTTAGAAAATGTGATAATGAATTATGTTTGAGACATTTGGCATAGCTGTGCTGTGGCCAACAAGGAGTATACATCCATATGCCCACATGCATGTATGCACATGTACACATACACCCCTCTGGTGAACAGAAAGAAAAAATAGGATGTCAAAAATGATCTGGGAGTCCTGGGTGTAGGTAGTAATTGAAATCACTGTAGATGAGATAGCTAAGGAAAGTGAAGATAGAAAAATACCAAAGATACAAAATAAACAGCAGAGAGAAGACGTAACAAAAATGACTAAGGGGCTGGGCGTGGTTTCTCACCCCTGTAATCCTAGCACTCTGGGAGGCCGAGGTGAGAGGATCACTCAAGGTCAGGAGTTCAAAACCAGCCTGAACAAGAGCAAGACCCCCATCTCTACTAAAAATACACAGAAATTAATTGGCTAACTAAAATTATATAGAAAAAATTAGCCAGGCATGGTGGTACATGCCTGTAGTCCCAGCTACTCAGGAGGCTGAGGCAGTAGGATCACCTGAGTCCAGGAGTTTGAGGATGCTGTGAGCTAGGCTGACTTCATGGCACTCCAGCCAGGGCAACAAAGTGAGACTGTCTCAAAAAAAAAAAGACTAAGGGGTTGTCAGAGGATAAAGAAGAAAGATATTACAGAAGTTAAAGAAATATCAAGTTAATCAAATTTCAAGTACAAGAGTCAACAACCACCGGGCGCGGTGGCTCACGCATTCGAAACCAGCCTGAGCAAGAGTGAGACCCCGTCTCTACTATAAATGGAAACAAATTAATTGGCCAACTAATATATATAGAAAAAATTAGCTGGGCATGGCGGCGCATGCCTGTAGTACCAGCTACTCAGGAGGCTGAGGCAGCATGACTGCTTGAGCCCAGGAGATTGAGGTTGCTGTGAGCTAGGCTGATGCCACGGCACTCACTCTAGCCTGGGCAACAAAGTGAGACTCTGTCTCAAAAAAAAAAAAAAAAAGATTTCCCAGTTAAAAGGTACACTTTGCCTGCAGAGATAGACAGACACCAAGGATGAATACCAATAGCTATGTGAATGGAATAAAAAGCTGAAGGATTTTAACCAGAAAGCCTTTCTTTCTGAATTAGAATACCAGGAAGGAGTGGCAGACTCACAAAATAGTAATTAAGCACAAATTGTGAGTTGAAAAATTTCTTAATTTCAAATTCTGAAACAGCCCTAGTTTCTACGAGATACCAGCCAATCTAACTACAGTGACAATTATTAAAATAAGTAAAAGCATTCTATATGGTCCTATTTTTATAATACATAAAGAAAAGCAATTATAAACAGGCAAGACTTTTTCATGGTTTCAGGGTAATATCAAAAGAATTTTATCACAAGCTGGCAAATGGTTAGATGGGCAGGGAGGGATATGTAGGGCAACTTTACAAAGCTGAGTCACTATGTCAAAGAGACTAGTCCTCAGTGTTTCAGAGCCTGAAACAGAATCATCATCACATACCCAAAAATGATCAGAACTTCTGAGATCAATCACACTAATAAAAATCACCTAATGACTAAATCAGAGTTTATTAATTTATAATGGGACTATCACTTTCCAATAAATTTCCATTAAATTCTCGTTCCTATCAAGGACACCTACCTTTCTTCTTTCAAAGAATACCTAAGAAGCTGAGTTATTATACAGTAAGCATAAACTCAGAACAAAAAAGGCAGAAATGTATAATAGAGAGATATCCCCTAAGTTCTAGAAAGGCAAGATGAAGTATATTTAGCCTGCCTCTCCAGTGACAGAACTTCACATAACCCCAGATCCAGTGTCTCTTGTTAACAGTAGACTTCTCTTGCTTCTCTGATACCCACTTTCAATGCAACCCATTCCCATTTTTACAACACACTGTTTTTCTTTAATGTTAAAATCAATGAATAGAATTCAGTGAAGCTGCTATTCCTGTCTATATGTTAATTTAAATGGATCAAATCTTAAGAGTTCTAAGGACACCACATTGTCTCAGCCTACAGACTTGCTGTTACTAAAAACCTTAAAAGAACACAAAGAAAAAGAAATAGGGGCTAAGGGTGGGGCAGATAAAAAAGAAATTATGGCATTTTTCTTCTGATGCACTAGGCTTTGAAATTATCTTAGGTTACATGAACACTACAGAAGTTATACTAGAATGGCTGAGACACTAAGAAACTTACACTCTGGTTTTTAAAGGAATGGTTGGTAAAAAATAAAACTAATGTTACCTGCTCCTATCACTTCTGCTAACCATGAAAATAAAATGTACTAGAATTAATCAGCATGTCTATGCAACTGGCACTCCAGAGTCACCCTCTGGTTTGTTGTCCCTGTCAAAAACTGGTCAAAATTGGCCGGGGGCGGTGGCTCACGCCTGTAATCCTAGCTCTCTGGGAGGCCGAGGCGGGCGGATTGCTCGAGGTCAGAAGTTCGAAACCAGCCTGAGCAAGAGCAAGACCTTGTCTCTACTATAAATAGAAAGAAAATTAATTGGCCAACTAATATATATAGAAAAAATTAGCCGGGCATGGTGGCACATGCCTGTAGTCCCAGCTACTCGGGAGGCTGAAGCAGAAGGATTGCTTGAGCCCAGGAGATTGAGGTTGCTGTGAGCTAGTCTGACGCCACGGCACTCACTCTAGCCTAGGCAACAAAGCGAGACTCTGTCTCAAAAAAAAAACAAAAAAACAAAAAAAACAAAACTGGTCAAAATTAACAAAAAGCTTTCTAAATCAACTTATAATGAATTTCACAATTTCTTCTCCATTCACCTCAAAGGTAAATGAAAGACACCTCTTCAAGTTTTAAAGAACAACGGCATAGGAATGGCCTCCCATGACCAAACAACTGTTCTGCACAATTAATGTACTTAAAATTCCTATTAAAAATGGCTGGTAAGCCAGGTGCAATGGTGCTCACCTAAGTACCAACTACCCGGGAGGATAGCTTGAGTTCAAGAGTTTGAGACCAGCCTGAGCAACACAGCAAAACCCTGTCTCCTTTTTTTTGAGACGGTCTCACTCTGTTGCCCCGGCTAGAGTGCTGTGGAGTCAGCCTAGCTCACAGCAATCTCAAACTCCTGGGCTCAAGCAATCCTTCTGCCTCAGCCTCCCAAGTAGCTGGGACTACAGGCATGCGCCACCATGCCTGGCTGATTTTTTCTATATATTTTTAGTTAGCCAATTAATTTCTATTTTTTTTTTTAGTAGGGATGGGATCTCGTTCTTTCTCAGGCTGGTTTCGAATTCCTGACCTTGAGCGATCCTCCCACCTGGGCCTCCCAGAGTGCTAGAATTATAGGTGTGAGCCACCGTGCCCAGCCAAAACCCCATCTCTTAAAAGAAAAAAAAAATTTGCCCATGGAAACTGATACCTGAGATTTGACACGTCTTGTTCTCTTCGGCAGAATGTTCATTCTTGTGCCTGGCTCTGGGGATGCTTGGATATCAGTGCTGAGAACCTCAGGCTCCACTTTTTCCTTAAGATCTAAATTAGGCATCTGTACACCCTAAAAGATCAGAGCACAGAAATAGAGTAGATTCACTGATAAGAAATCAGGCTCAATTGAGAATCAGTGGAGAAATAATAAATTGCCAATAAATCCCTGAAACTACATGAAACCAGATAGCAATTCTCTTTGTTGTTGTTGACAGTTCTCTCTTGAATTGATCTACAGACTCAAAGCAATCCCTCTCAAAATTCTGGCAAGCTTTTTTGTAGAAATGGAAAGCTAATCCTGTACTTTATGTGGAAATGAAAATTGGAAATTTTGAAAAAGAGCAAAGAGGATTTATACTACTGGGTATCAAAATTTACTATAAACCCACAGTACTCAATACAGTGTGGTATTGGTGTTAGGGTAGACATACAGATCAATGGAACAAAACACAGTCCAAAAATAAACTCACACATTTGGTCAACCAACTTGCAACAAAGGTGCAATGGGAAAAACAGTCTTTTTTTTTTCTTTTGTTTTATTTCAGCATATTATGGGGATACAAATGTTAAGGTTATATATATTGCCCATGTCCCCCTCCCCCCTCCCACCCGCCCAACACCCAATAAATGTTATTCCTGTATGTCCACTTAAGTGTTGATCATTAATACCAATTTGCTGGGGAGTACATGTGGTGTTTGTTTTTCCATTCTTGAGATATATCACTTAGTAGAATGCGTTCCAGCCCTATCTAGGAATATACAAGAGGTGTTTCTTAAAGCTGAATAGTACTCCATGGTATACATATCCCACATTTTATTAATCCACTCATGTATTGATGGGCACCTGGGTCTTTTAAACAAATGGTGCTGGCACAAATGAATATTTATAATATCCTCTCCACCAAAAACTGAACCTACACCTTTGCCTCACACCATATACAAAAAAAAATTATTCAAAAAGCATCACAGACTGAAATATAAAGTTAAAACTATATAACTTCTAGGTAAAACAAAAAAATCTTTACACCTTAGAAAAGGTTTCTTAAACATGACATCAAAAGCACAATCCATACAAAGGGAAAAAAAAATAAAGAAGTTATTCTTCAAATGGACACTATTATGAAAATGAAAGGATAAACCAGACTAGGAGAAAATATTTACAAATCATGTATCTGATAAAGGACTTATAGCCACAATATATAATAAATTCTTACAAGTGTAAGATAATCCATTTTTTTATTTTAAATTTTATTCTATTTTTATTTTTTCTTCTTCTTTTTCTCTGCCCTCTGCAAGCATCAACATTAACAAAGGGACAATCCATTTTTTAAAAAGCTCTGGCCAGCTTAGGTAACATAGCAAGACCCCATCTCCACAAAATAACCAAAAATATTAGCACACACCTGCAATGTTTTAGGTCTTGAAATAGAATCATCAATGTACACTCAAAAACAGCCTCCCCAGATACATGGGAGGATGAGGCAGAAGGATCACTTGAGTACAGGAGTTCAAAGTTACAGTGAGCTATGACTGGACCACCCTTATAAGAGCCTGGGCAACCAAGCAAGAGCCTGTCTCTTTTTTTAAAAAAACAAAAATACCTGAACAGACACTTCATCAAGAAAATATAAACATGAAAAGATGCAGAACATCCCTAGTCATTAGTAAAATGCAAATTAAAACCACAGTGAGATACCACTACACACTATTAGAATGGCTATAATCAAAAAAACTGACAATACCAAGTAGTTGGCAAGGACATGGAAAAACTGGAAGCCTCCATATTACTGGTAGGAGAGTAAAATGGTTCAGCAACTTTGGAAAACAATTGGGCAAGTTCTTAAAAATTCACACATAAACTTACCATATAACTCAGCAATTCCACTCCTAGGTATCTATCCAAGAGAAATGAAAGTATATCTCCAGGCAGAGACTTGTACATGAATATTCATACCATTATTCACAACAGACATAAACTGGAAATAATCCAACTATCAACCAGTGAATAAACAAAACGTAGTGTCACACACACACACACAATGGAATAATATTCAGCCAAAAAAAGAAGTAATAATACATGGGTGAACCTTGAAAACATTAAGCTAAGTTAAAGAAGCTAGACACAAAAATCATATTGTATCATTCCAAATATGTGAAATTTCTAGAAAAGGCAAAACTATAGAGCCAGAAAGCAGATCAGGAATTGCCTACAGTTTGGAGGTAGGAACAGGAACTGACTACAAATGAACACAAATGTTCTAAAACTGGATTGTGATGATTGCTGCATAAAGGTATAAATTTTTAAAGCTTACTGACAATGCAACTACAATGGGTAAGTTCTATGGTATATAAATTATACTTCAATAAAGCTGTTTAAAAATATATGAAACAAATAGGAGGACTTTTTCATAAAGCTTAAGTCATGAAGATTTACTTTAAATAAGTAAATAAGATTTACTTTACAAGATAAGATTTACTTTATCTTGTAAACCACCAAAAATAGCTATGACTTTTAAACTATGATATACATCTTGCTCCCCCAAATTTTTGTGTGAGAAATCTATTCTACCCTGTTACGAATCAACAACTGCTAACTTGTAGTGAACAGAGCCTAAGGTTATACTTGCAAACTGGATTTATCCACTCCTAAGGAGAATGATGCATCTCACCATAAGGCTGACACCAGACTGGAAAAGCTCATATGGGTAGAGAATTCTTTCATAGTGTGACTTCAGAAGAGACCCAGTTCCTTTTCCTGGTAGATATCCCAAGCGACTACCCACTTTAGACCATTTCTTCTCTTTGGTGACCATTTCAAAACCACCTTTGCTGGCAACAATCTGAAAAGAAAGTAAAAGTTATTTAGGAAAAAAGGTATATTCAAGCATCCTAATTCTGTATCTTGTCTACAAATACAAAAATTATTCTGGGCTTAGATTTTAATTTTCCTTTCAACAAATATCTAACCAAACTGATACTCACCATTTAGAGTACTGACACTTATCAATATTTAGAGTAAGGGAGATAGAGACAATGATTTTCATAAGTTTTAAACTTTAAAACTTAATATTAGGCCTACCTTCAAATCAAGTACTCAAAAATATTTAATGATCTGTACTTTGTACATTATGCACTGTGAGAAAACTAAGCACATATATTTTCTATATCCTAAGAATTCAAAATGAAATAAAAAGCAACCAAAAAAAGACATGAGAATAAGTTACATAATATAAAATATAAACTTACATTCTAAAATTAGAAAATGTACCAAGTAACTTAGAGAACCTAACAAAAATGTCAAGAAAACCATGAACTCAAAGGAGTTTTGAAAATGAGATCATAATTATTCAAAAGGAAAAGAGTTTTATATGGAAGATTATGAAGGAATGCTAGAGAAATCATAATCCAGATTTACTGGTACACAGTACAGAATATATAACCATAGGAAGTGATGACATAAATTAGCTAACTTGGCTGAAAGTTCACATCAAGCCAGGTACTATATAGAATATACACATATACTCCCTACCTTCCAGAAGCTGATACTGTACATCTCTTACACTCTAAAATACGCTCATGCACCACATAACAACGTTTTGGTGAATGACAGACCACATATATGATGGCAGTCCCGTAAGATCGTAACACCATATTTTTACATACATTTTCCACATTAAGATATGTTTAAATACACAATTCCATTGTGTTACAATAGCCTAGTATTAAGTACAGTAACAGGCAGTACAGGTTTGTAGCCTAGGAACAATAGGCTATGCCATATAGCATAGCTATGTAGTAGGCTGTATCATCTAGATTGGCATAAGTACACTCTATGATGTTCAGACAATGACAAAATTGCCTGACAACACATTTCTCAGAATATGTCCCTGTTGTTAATTGGCACATGACCACACAGGCAGTTTTTAGTCTAAGAACACAATAAAGAGAACTGTGACATAGTATTTGAACTCTGTTAACAATTTCTCCTCTTTAAGTATATACTACTGTATTTTACTACATGGAAAAAGTTAAAAGTTAAACACAGAATTACCACGTGATCCTGCAATTTCACTTCCAGGCATATGTACCCAAAGAACTGAAATCAAGGACTCAAACCGATATTTGCATATCAATGTTCACAGCATTATTATTTATTACACTCAAAAGATGGAAATAGGTAGGGTGCGGTGGCTCACACCTGTAATCCTAGCACTCTGGGAGGCCAAGGTGGGTGGATCGTTTGAGCTCAGGAGTTCGAGACCAGCCTGAGCAACAGTGAGACCCCATCTCTACTAAAAATAGTAAGAAATTAATAGACCAACTAAAAATATAAAAAAATTAGCCAGGCATGGTGGTGCATGCCTGTAGTTCCAGCCTACTCAGGAGGCTGAGGCAGCAGGATTGCTTGAGCCCAGGAGTTTGAGGTTGCTGTGAGCTAGGCTGATGCCACGGCACTCTAGCCAGGCAAGAGAGTGAGACTCTGTCTCAAACAAACAAATGATGGAAATAACCCAAATGTCCATCAACAGATAAATGAATAAACAAAATGTGGTATACACATACAATGGAATATTATTCAGCCTTAAAAAGAAAGGAAATATTGATACATGCTACAACATGAATGAGCCTTGAAAACACTATGCTAAGTGAAATAAGCTAGACACAAAATGAATATTGTATAATTCTACTTATATAAGGTACCAGGACAAGCAAATTCATAGAGACAGAAAGTATAATAGAGGTTACCATTGGGAAGGGGAGGAGTAGTTCTGGAAATAGTGGTGATGATTGTACAATATTGTAAATGTACTTAATGCCACTGAGTTGTACATTTTAAAATGTTGGGCATCATCATAGCTCACTGCAACCTCAAACTCCTGGGCTGAATTGATCCTCTTGCCTCAGCTTCCCAAGTAGCTGGGGCTATAGATGCACATCACAATGCCTGGCTAATTTTTTCTACTTTTAGTAGAGACAGGGTCTTGCTCTTGCTCAAGCTGGTCTTGAACTCCCGAGCTCAAGCAATCCTCCCACCTAGGCCTCCCAGAGTGCTAGGATTATACGCATGAGCCACCAAGCCCAGCCTTACCATATTTTTTTTACAAAGACCAAGTGAAGACTCTGAAGCCAGACTGCTGGTGTTCAAATCCCAGCTCTGTCATTTAATAGTTACATAACCTTTGGTAAGTTACATGATTTGTCATTCAGTTTCCTCACCATCATTAAAATAGTAACAACAGTAGTACCTACCTCATTATGAGGCTATTGTTAGGACAAATGAATTAAAACAAGAAAAGCAGCAGGACAAAGTAAGTACTACATCAGTGTTCCCTATATTATAAATGCCTATGTACATGGGCAAGTGGGGGAGAGGGTACACATACTAAAAATAAGTGAAGGGGCCAGGCATGGTGGCTCACGCCTGTAATCCTAGCCACTCTGGGAGGCCGAGGTGGGCAGATCGTTTGAGCTCAGGAGTTCGAGACTAGCCTGAGTAAGAGTGAGACCCCCATCTCTACTAAAAATAGAAAGAAATTAATTGGCCAGCTAAAAATATATAGAAAAAACGAGCGGGGCATGGTGGCACATGCCTGTAGTCCCAGCTGCTTGGGAGGCTGAGGTAGGAGGATTGCTTGAGCCCAAGAGTTAGAGATGGCTATGAGCTAGTCTGACACCACAGCACTCTAGCCCAGGCAAGGCAACAGAGCCAGACTCTGTCTCAATCAATCAATCAATCAATCAATCACTCACTCACTCGCTCAATCAATCAATCAATCAATAAATAAGTGAAGGAACGCACCACTTATTTTCTTACTCACCATCAAATTGGTATTAACTGATCAACACTTAAATGCATATAGTAATAACACTCATCAGGTGTCAGGCACATGGTAGGGAGTAGAATAGGATGAGTATATACACTCCTAATAGGCATGGTCCACACCATCTGAGGAACGGACACGCTTGAAGCTGTGACTTCAGTGGGGCAAGGGCAATATATATAACCTAAACATTTAGACCCCTGTAATATGCTAAAAAAAATTTTTTAAAGTGAAAATATTTTTGATTCTTGTGCTTTGGAGTGCTGTTATAGACAAAGATGAATAAAAAATTTTTTTATCAAAAGTGAAAGAAATATTCTCCATTCTTGTGCTTTGGGATGCTATTATAGACAAAGATGAATCTATGGTCAAAGCACAATTTTCCTCTACTGAAGTATCTGAAAGCTTGGTAGAAACCCATAAATTTATGTGCCTAACAGTTGAACATATCTCTTCAATTCTTCAGCTTCTTTAATCACACCCTTAGAGAAGCCCTCTCTGTTGATAAAAACTAATCAGAAAATTATAAAGAGGATAAAAATTTTTTTCAAATTTTGTAGTACAGAGAAAGACACATGGGGGTGGGTTAGACAGAGGGCTGTCTGGAAGGAACTAGATGGATTAGAGTGTCTTTCACTGCCTTTCATTCAAAATATATCTTTCCAGTGCTTCTATAGTGCCGGCTACTATTCTAAGTAATCAAGATACATCTGTGACTAAAACAAAGATATTTACCTTCATGAAGCTTACATTCTAGGGGAGGAAGACAGACAAATAATGAACATTATATATAAATTTTAAAGTGATAGATATTGTGAAAGAAATTTAAAAAGCAGTCAAGGTCCTCACAAGTAGAAAAGTGAGGGTAAATTGAAATAATAAACAGTTACAAGGCCGGGCGCAGTGGCTCACGCCAGTAATCCTAGCACTCTGGGAGGCTGAGGCGAACAGATTGCTCAAGGTCAGGAGTTCGAAACCAGCCTGAGCAAGAGCGAGACCCCGTCTCTACTAAAAATAGAAACTAATTGGCCAACTAATATATATAGAAAAAATCAGCCGGGCATGGTGGCACATGCCTGTAGTCCCAGCTACTCGGGAGGCTGAGGCAGGAGGATCGCTTGAGCCCAGGAGTTTGAGGTTGCTGTGAGCTAGGCTGATGCCACGGCACTCACTCTAGCCTGGGCAACAAAGCGAGATTCTGTCTTCAAAAAAAAAAAAAAAAACAGTTACAGAAGGCCTCGTCATAAAGGTGAAATTTGAGCAAAGACTTGAAGTGAAGCAGTTAATCAACCAGATATACAGGGAACAGAGCAAAGGCTTTAAGTAAGAAGTACACCTACAGTGTTTGAGGAACATAAGGAAGCCAGTGTGGATAAAACAAAATGAACAAGTAGGGAGAAGTAGCAAAGGAAGTCAGGAAGGCAACAGGAGCCCTCTCAATAATCTTTACTATTCCATATAATTATCACTATAAAGAATATCTGCTTTGTATTCAAAGCACTTCAAGCTAAATTTCCATTAGTTGCATCTGCATGGATAGCCAGTCATGATTTCTCACCCAGTTCTGGTGATTAGTGGCAGCCAGGGTATGATCATGACATAGGAAAACTTTATCTCACAAAGAAAATGACTTTGGCTTCATGTACACAATACTCATACAATCTAACCAAAACACAAAAAAACTTACACTTGTTTTTCTTTGGCTGACAGATTCAAGGATTATCATGCATAATTTTAAAATACAAACCATTTACTCCAAACATTAGCCATGTACCATTATTACACCACTGTCACTGGAAATATCACTATGAACCATGACCTATAAAATGACAGATGGCATGTACCTGAACACAATGAAGACAAGCCCTTTATCAAAATTTGGCCAAAAGTAAAATCAATCAAGGCCATAATGGCTAGCAACAGAGACAATTTTAACAGACATAAAGAATAGTCTTCTACTTAAAATCTCCCTCTGGGCTGGGCGCTGTGGCTGACATCTGTAATCCTAGCATTCTGGGAGACCGAGGCAGGAGGACTGCTTGAGTTGAGTTTGAGAACAGTCTGAGTAAGAGTGAGAGACCCTGTGTCTACAAAAAATAAAAAAAGGATCCAGGCAAGTGCCTATAGTCCCAACTACTCAGGAGGCTGATGCAGGAGGATTGTTTGAGCCCAGGAGTTTGAGGCTACAGTGAGCTATGATGACATAACTGCACTCTAGCCAGGCAACAGAGCAGGACTCGGTACCCCCCCACAAAAAGCTCCCTCTCAAAATTCACTAAAAAGACAGGAAAGAAACAAAACAGCATACTCCCAAGAAGTCAAATAGACCAAGAATGGAACCGAATACAAGCAATGTAAACAATATTTTAAAGCTAGGAAGCAGAGGTACAAGTGATAACGTAACAAGCCAAAAACAAAACACAAAACAAAACAAACAAACCCAACAAATTTAAAACTAAGCGCCTGCAATAGAGGAAAGCCAAGGAGAAACTTGTGCAGCATAGAACCTGGAAAGGCTTAAGAGCTGGAAGCAGCAGTACCTCTAAAATCTGGAGTGGCAATGCAGCAGAGAACAAGAATGTAGAAAACCTGTATAAAAATAGACTTCCTATGGTCAGCACAGCAAGGCAACTATATCCCTCTCCAACCCCAGTGGAAGAGTGGTGATTTACCCTAAGGAGAGTCTGAGTAGAAGAGATTATGAACTAAGAAAGAAATAGGTAAATAAATTAAAGGGTCAGCGCTAAGATGTCTAGCATCCAACTAATAAAGAATACAAAAAAAGAAAACAAAATTCAGACAAAATTATCAAAGATTACAGGAAAGTCAGAACTGAAAGACATGATTTACCAGATCAGAAAAGTTATTAAGAGCCACAAAAACACTGAATTAAAATAAACACATACCAATGCATATCACCATGAAATTTAACAGCACTGGAAATAAAAATTAGATCCTAAGTCTTCAAAAAGAAAAAATCATAAATGAACGATTAATATAGCATCATTCTTCTTACCAGCAACACAATGGAATAAAGCTTCCAAAACACTGAGGTAAAATGATTTACAATTTAGACTTCTAAACCCCACCAAACTACCAATAAAGTATAATGACAGAACATTTAAAATAATTATGGTCCCCCAAAATTTACATCCCAATTACCATCTGGGAAAGGCAAAGGGAATTCCCAAAATGACAGTGGTATTAATAAAAAGAAGTTCCAGGGCCGGGCGTGGTGGCTCACGCCTGTAATCCTAGCTCTCTGGGAGGCCGAGGCGGGCGGATTGCTTGAGGTCAAGAGTTCGAAACCAGCCTGAGCAAGAGCGAGACCCCGTCTCTACTATAAATAGAAAGAAATTAATTGGCCAACTAATATATATATATATAAAATTAGCCGGGCATGGTGGCACATGCCTGTAGTCCCAGCTACTTGGGAGGCTGAGGCAGAAGGATTGCTTGAGCCAGGAGATTGAGGTTGCTGTGAGCTAGGCTGACGCCATGGCACTCACTCTGGCCTAGGCAACAAAGCGAGACTTTGTCTCAAAAAAAAAAAGAAGTTCCAGACTGACAGCTGACCTTCAAAAACAACCAGTCAGCACTAGAGCAGGAAAAAAGACTCCAGGAGGAACAGCTCCAAGAAGAAAATAAAACTGATAGATTACCTGATGGGTAGAAGTATACTAAGAGATTTGTACTTCTGCTGGAAAGTTTGAAAATAAGTTTTTGATGGTTACAAAGAAAACTTACAAAATGGATCCTGGCAGGTGAGTGACGCCGGCTCATCGCGGTTGGCCTCCCGTCGTGGCTCGCCCTTTGCTCTGGACACTCGGACCTCAGCACCCCAGCTCCCGGGGCCCGCTGCTCCGGCCCACACGCCTCAACTGGCCACAGACCCATGGCCGAGCGCGGAGAACTCGACCTGACCGGCGCCAAACAGAACACGGGAGTGTGGCTGGTCAAGGTTCCTAAATATTTGTCACAGCAATGGGCTAAAGCCCCTGGAAGGGGTGAAGTTGGGAAGCTGCGGATTGCCAAGAATCAAGGAAGAACTGAGGTGTCATTTACTTTGAATGAAGATCTCGCAAATATTCATGATATTGGTGGAAAACCAGCTTCAGTCAGCACACCTAGAGAACATCCACTTGTCTTGCAAAGTGTTGGAGGACAGACATTAACAGCATTTACTGAGAGCTCATCAGATAAGCTGTCATTGGAAGGAATAGTGGTACAAAGAGCTGAATGCCGACCAGCTGCCAGTGAAAACTACATGAGATTAAAAAGATTGCAAATAGAAGAATCTTCCAAACCTGTAAGGCTATCACAACAACTGGACAAAGTTGTAACAACCAATTACAAGCCTGTTGCCAATCATCAATACAATATTGAATATGAAAGGAAAAAGAAAGAAGATGGAAAATGAGCCCGAGCAGATAAACAACACGTTTTAGACATGCTATTTTCAGCCTTTGAGAAACATCAGTATTATAACCTTAAGGACTTGGTAGACATAACAAAACAACCTGTGGGGTACCTGAAGGAAATCTTAAAAGAAATTGGTGTTCAGAATGTAAAAGGGATCCACAAAAACACATGGGAGCTGAAGCCAGAGTACAGACACTATCAAGGAGAAGAAAAGAATGACTGAGAAGACCCCTAGCCAGCATGCTAGCAGAACAGTGAATGCTGAGCAAAGGGCTTGCTGCTGGAATGCCTGAACAGTGTATGTTAATAGGGGTAAAATAATATTTCCATTTCTCTTGGTAAAATTTTTAAACCTCTAATTCTTGTAAAGTTTAGTAAGTGTTTTTTGAGGAGAAAGAACACATTTATTTATAGACTTAACTCGTATTAAACTGGATTATTCACTGGGAGTTGGGGTTGGGGGATTAAGAGGACTTTTCTTAAATATTAGCTTTTTAACATGTAAAAATTAGGAAATGTTTTTTAAATGAGGACTCTATCCTTGCTGTATCTCTGAGGAGCCAAGGTAATACAGATCCAAAGGGAATGGTCTAACAAGATAAAAATGGTCAACTACAGAAACTCTTAAAAGGAATAAAAAGCCAAAGTTCCTTTAAAAAAAAAAAAAAACTTACAAAATGAAAAAAGGGAGAGAGTACAAACTAGAAAGAAAGTAAAAATTGGTACAAGGAAACATAAAGCACACAAGGCTCAGGAACAAATAATAGTCACAGTAATAATTTTTGATTAATAAAAGATATGGCTGGACATGGTGGCACATGCTTGCAATCCCAGCTACTCAGAAGGCTGAGGCAGGAGGATCGCTTGAGCCCAGGAGTTTGAATCTAGCCTGGGCAACAAAGCAAAAACCCTGTCTTTTTCCCCTCCTCTCCCCGAGACAGGGTCTCACTCTATCACCCAAGCTAGAGTGCAGTGGCTCATAGTTCACTGCAATCTCAAATTCCTGGGCTTAAGGGATCCATTACAAGCAATGTTTCCCACCAAGTTTATTTGAAATTCTTAATTTCATAAATTCACAAGCCTCTGTTCCAATTTCTAAACCAAATACAAGCCTCACCTTGCTCAAAGCATACAGATCCAGGATTTTTCTCTCCACCACAGGGATCTTCAAAGTAGATCCTTGAAGTTCCCAAAATTTTGCTAGTTGATCCAAGAAATCCAGTCTAACTCTGGTCATTGCCTACGATTATTAAAATACAGAAATCAGAAATAGGAACTAAGTTATAGTTGCAATGCATGAGTCTTACATAATAAAGGTGCTCATTTCTCTATAAAAATTCAAAAACTTTTAATTATTGCTTACCTACCCCACAAAATTATCCAATAATAAAGAAGCAAAATACTTCTAATAAACATTATTCATTGGGCCAGGCCAGGTGGCTCACGCCTGTAGTTCTAGCACTCTGGAAGGCCGAGGCAGGAGGATCATTTGAGCTCAGCAGTTTGAGACCAGCCTGAGCAAGAGCGAGACCCCATCTCTACCAAAAATAGAAAAAATTAGCTGGGCATGGTGGCACATGCCTGTAGTCCTAGCTACTCAGGAGGCTGAGGCAGAAGGATCCCTTGAGCCTAGGACTTTGAGGTTGCTGTGAGCTAGGCTGACGCCACAGCACTCTAACCAGGGCAACAGAGACTCCTGTCTCAAAAAAAATATAAAAAAAAAAAAGATTATTCATTGATGCCAAAATGTTACTCCAATTTATGCAAAAAGTTCTCATATTAGCAACCAAGAAGCCAGGTACACTGGCTCCCACCTATGATCCCAGCTACTCAGGAGGATGAGGTGAGAGGATCACTTGAGGCCGGGAGTTTGAGACCAGCCTGGGAAATACAGCAAGACTCAGTCTCTAAAAAAAATGAAAAAAATTAGCCGGGTTCAGTAGCCCCAGCTATTCAGGAGGCTAAGATGGGAAGATAGCTTGAGTCCAGGAGTTCAAGGTTGCAGTGAACTATGATCACCCACTGCACTCTACCCTGGGTGACAGAATGAGATCTCATCTCTTAAAAAAAAAAAAAATTTTTTTAAACAAATTAGCAACCAAAACAATTTTTTTAAAAAACTGATTTAACTTTATGCTAACCAGAAAATTCAGTGATTCATATTATTTTTGGTCTCTAAACATTCTAACATGTACACTTTAGGTGCATCAACTCTTCTACCTCAGTAATATTAACATGCTTCATCAAGTATCTAATTACAAGAAACTAAAGGAAAAAAAATGTGTCAAAATCTCAGAAAATAAGGCCGGGCGCGGTGGCTCACGCCTGTAATCCTAGCACTCTGGGAGGCCGAGGCGGGCGGATTGCTCGAGGTCGGGAGTTCGAAACCAGTCTGAGCGAGACCCCGTCTCTACTAAAAATAGAAAGAAATTAATTGACCAACTAAAAGTATATATACAAAAAAAAATTAGCCAGGCATGGTGGTGCATGCCTGTAGTCCCAGCTACGAAAAAGCCCCCCAAGGAACACTTCCTCGCATTCAAACGTGCCTACAGAAGACTACAAAAGAAACCAAGGCAAAAACATCCAGAAACTTTGGTTCTAGTTGAGAAATTAGGGAGAGTACATAACGAAAGAACACACGCTAAACCAAATATATCGACTCCCCCTCTAAAAGTATTTTAGGAACATCTGGGGGGGGGGGGAGTCAGCATGGCATAATAAATCCTAGCTACCAAAGATTTTCCTTTTGTACTCTAAAATAGATTTCATACCACACTGAAGAACCTTCTGAAAATCTGGCAGACAGAAAAAAAATATTTAAACAGATTTCACTTTAGAAAATTTAAGAGAAATTACTAATATATAAAGGGAAATCTTAATAAATCAGATTAACAATCCTAGAAAAGTTCTGTTAAAACCAAGAGAAAAACCTTTGACAACTAGGTTTTTTAATAGAATTTTTTCCCTCCCTATCATATTCAACTCAGAATAGAACTTAAAAACCTATTTTCCAAGAACAAGGGAAGACAGAAATCTACTGAGATTAACAAAAAACATTTTAGTAGAACAACACTGAAGAAAATGGGATTTAAGAATTCTAGGTCTCTGAAACTAAGCACTGGACATTTCTACTATGAAAACATGGATAGAGATAGCTTCTCATAATTTCAGTTTAGTGGAAAAAACACAATAATTACTTTAAACAATTCTTCAAAAATGAGACACTTATCCAAACATCAAGTAACTATTCCATTCAGTACCAATTAATGCAAATGTGAGGCCCTGGTACAAGAGCTTCCCAAAGTTCTCTCCCTAACATAAAGAATGAATCAGGAGGCAAAAACAGTCATAACACTCACCTCAAGTTCATTCAGGCGCTGGACTCTAGGAGTGAAACGAAAACTTTTCACTTCACACGCAAATGGAGGTTGCCAATCCTAAATAAAAGGTGGGGTTTTTTTGAAAAATAAATTTAAAAAAGTAAGAAAACACAGGGGTAATTTGACAAATATTATGTTGACCATATAATGTCCTCTTTATTATAGAGACAGAAAGTGATATATTTTAGATAAAATAATTTTAATACAGGTTGAGTATCCTTTATCTAAAATGCTTGGTAACAAAAGCATTTCAGATTTTTTCAGATTGTAGAACATCTGAATATACACCAGTGGCTCACACTTGTAATCCCAGCACTTTGGGAAGCTTATGCAGAAAGACTGCTTAAGGCCAGGAGTTCCAGATCAGCCTGGGCAACATAGAAAGACTCTGTCTCTACAAAAATTTTTTTAAAAAATTAGCCAGGTGGGCCAGGCGTGGTGGTTCACGCCTGTAATCCTAGCACTCTGGGAGGCCGAGGCAGGTGGATCACTCAAGGTCAGGAGTTCGAAACCAGCCTGAGCAAGAGTGAGACCCCGTCTCTACTAAAATAGAAAGAATTTAACTGACCAACTAAAAATACCTAGAAAAAATTAGCAGGGCATGGTGGCGCGTGCCTGTAGTCCCAGCTACATGGGAGGCTGAGGCAGTAGGATCGCTTGAGCTCAGGAGTTTGAGGTTGCTGTGAGCTAGGCTGATGCCACGGCACTCACTCTAGCCTGGGAAACAAAATGAGACTCTGTCTCAAAAAAAAAAAAAAAAATAGCCAGGTGTGGTAGCAATCACCTGTAGTCCCAACCAACTACTTGGGAAGCTGAGGCAGTAGGATCGCCTCAGCCCAGAAATTCAAGGCTGCAGTGAGCAATGACCATGCCACTGCACTCCAGCCTGGATGACGGAGCAAGACCCTGTGTCAAAACAAACAAACAAAAAAAAACAAAAAGAATATTTCAATATACATGAGATATCTTGGGTATGGGACTAAAAAAAATTTTTTTTAAAGCCAGCCAAGTTTAGCAATAGGTGGTTGCATACCAACTTTAGTTACACTAATGTTATTACGTTCTGATAATCCACTACCATCAGACCATCCGAGACCAAGGTTTAAACACAAAATTCATTTGTTTCATATACACCTTATAAACATACTCTAAAAGTAATTTTATGCAATATCTAATAGTTTTGTGCATGAAACAAGAGTTTGTGTACACTGAACCATCAGAAAGCAAATGTGTCACTAACTCATCCACATGGGCGGATGTGGACAATCCGCCCATGTGGTTGTTTAGCATCACCATCATTCCTGACTCTGAATTTATATGCTACCAATAAGCAATTCATCATTTTCTTACACTTATACACATATCAGTACTTAGCAGTTTAAAATATACCATTAACACAACGAAAAAATAACATGTTCAGGGTAACCTGGTTTCAGATTTTGTAGCATTTTGGATTTTGGGAGTAGGGATGCTCAACCTGTATTACAGAAGCAATCCTCCTCAAACCAGTGCCACTATTTACATCCCATAATTATACTTCCCCAAGTACTCAAGTGGAATGCAATGAGTTCATGTACCACAAAACAGTGTCTAGACCAGGCGTGGTGGTTCACACCTATAATCCTAGCATTTTGGAAGGCTAAAGCGAGTCAGTGGAGCCCAGGAGTTTGAGGTCAACCTGGGCAATAGGGAGATGTCATCTTCTACAAAAAAAAAAAAAAAAAAAAACTTAGCAGGGAGTGGTGGTGCATGGTGTGGTCCCAACTGAGGCAGGGGCAGGGGGTGAGGCAGGAGGATCACTTGAGGCTAGGAGTTTAATGAGGTTTCAGTGAGCTATGATGATGCTACTGCACTCTAGCCCCCCAACAGAGCAAGACTCTGTCTCAGAAAAAGAAACACACACAAAAAAAAACCAACAAGGTGGGTGTGGTGGCTCGTGCCTGTAATCCTAGCACTCTGGGAGGCTGAGGCGGGCGGACTGCTCCAGGTCAGGAGTTCGAAACCACCCTGAGCGAGACCCCATCTCTACTAAAAAATAGAAAGAAATTAATTGACCAACTAAAAATATATATACAAAAAATTAGCCGGGCATGGTGGCACATGCCTGTAGTCCCAGCTACTTGGGAGGCAGAGGCAGGAGGATCAGTTGAGCCCAGGAGTTTGAGGTTGCTGTGAGCTAGGCTGACGCCACAGCACTCACTCTAGCCTAGGCAACAAAGTGAGACTCTGTCTCAAAAAAAAAAAAAAACCAACAAAAACAAAGAAAACTGTACAAGATACAAGTCTACCAAATTAAAAAGAAATTTTGTTAAAGGCCAGCTTCTGGACACCTAAATATTTAAAAAAAAAAAGCAAACCCAAAGAACAAAGACAATTTCCAGATTGTGGTATAACTAAAAAGCAGCAGCACACTTCAAATGGTATTGAAAAGAACATAGTATGATTTGGCGTAAATAACAGTAAACCTACTTGAAGCCTAGAGAAAGTCAAAAAAGGTATCTTACCTTGGAAACTAAAAAAACCTGCCAACATTAAAATTAAATTGTTTGCAAACAAGATTCATTTTCAATATAACAAGCAATTGCATATTATTGCACCATTTTTAATTGAAAAAATAACTTTTTTAAGAAAATAACCCTGAATAAAATTTCTAATGAATAAATGCAATATAGTAGACGAAAATATGGTTTGCGAAAAATGCAAATGCTTAATTAAGGTTTCGTCAACATTAGTAATTCTGATAGAAAAAGAGTTAAGTGGAAGCTTTTGGAGAATAGCAATTCATATCATCATAGCAACTATTTGTTAATCCTTTGCTTGCAATGACAGTCTATAATCTTAATCAAATTCATTCAGCATAGTGGGAATAACATGTCTGTTTCAGAATCAGAAAAACTGATCTAGGTTCAAAACCTACTTTGCCATTTGACCAAGATCACACATTTGGTAAGTGTTTTAAGCTATCACAATTTAGGCTGTGCGTGGTGGCTCTTGCTTGTAATCCTAGCACTGTGGGAGGATGGCTTGAGTTCAGGAGTTTGAGACCAGCCTGACTAAGAGCAGACCCATCTCTACTAAAAATAGAACAAATTAGCCGGGCCTAGTAGCACCAGCCTGTAGTCCCAGCTACTTCGGAGGCTGAGGTTGCTGTGAGTTAGGCTGACGCTACCGCACTATAGCCAGGAAAACACAGCGAGACTCCTGTCTCAAAAAAAAAAAAAAAAAAATCGTAACTTACCACGCCTTGCCTCATCTGTAAAATGAGTGCTTTATTTACCCATTAGAGCTTCAAAGATTAAAGGAAACAATTTATAGGTGCTAAACTAGCTCCTCCTCCTCTCTCCAAAAAATCATCTGAAAGTACTTGCTAGAGAAGGACATTCTAGAAATTCCACATTCAGAAATTGATTCTACTCTGAATAAGGCCTAGGGTTCTGCACTTTAACAAGCATCCAGATGACGCTGGTGCAGATGGTACAGCAACAGCATTTGGGAAGCGATAGTCTAACGGGTAAAGGAAAACACCTTTTGACCTTGAGCATATCACTCCAGCCTCGGAGTATTAATTCCCTCCATACAAGGGTTAGTATCTGTTTTCCTTACCTTAAAAATTGAGAATTATAATTAACCTTTAAGCAAACCTAGTTATTTGCAATAATTGTTATTCTAAAATCTTCCACCCTTAGTTCCCTATATTAAGAAATTTCAATGTCTTCTTTCACCTCCATTATTAATTTTTCCTAAACCTCTAAATTTAAAAAATGCCGCTCTTTCTCTTCCCCTAGAAAGACTTTTTCACTGCAGCAGTAATTAGTCTGGAATTCTTGGATACCATTCTGGGGGACAACTACAGCTCATACTATCTTTTAAGAAATCCTACCCTTTAGATGAGGCCTGCAAATACATGATGAACTAAGCATTAGCAGGGCCTGCTTGGATAAAGAAATAGCTGACCTAGAAGCAGTTTCTACATCGAACCACAGTGAGGAGTGTACACGAAGGTAGGGCATGTTATAATACTGTACCTTCAAACACTTTATAGGCCAACGAAAGGCCTAAGCATTTTGTTACTCTTGCCCACAATCCATACAAAAGTATGAGTTCTAAAGTTCCAGGCAGAAAAAGCCCCCCAAGGAACACTTCCTCGCATTCAAACGTGCCTACAGAAGACTACAAAAGAAACCAAGGCAAAAACATCCAGAAACTTTGGTTCTAGTTGAGAAATTAGGGAGAGTACATAACGAAAGAACACACGCTAAACCAAATATATCGACTCCCCATTCTCCCTTCTCCCCCCCCCTCTTCACAGACTCCGGTACCTTGGGAGGCCGAATTTTGCAGATGCCGGTTTTCTCCGCCAAAGGCCGGATGCGGCCGATAAAGCTTAGCGGGTCTGTGAACTCCTCCCAGCTAGGCTCAAAGACCGGGCACTCTGGGGGTGGCACGAACTCCGCCGCGTAGCCCCCCGGCCCCACGCCCGCCATAGCAATAGCCACGGAGCCCCCGTGAAGGAGCAGGTGGACAAAGGCTGGCTAAAGCCCGCCGAGCCCCTTCACGTCGCCTGTCAGGGGCCGAAGCGCATCTTCCTGGACAAGAGCCGTTCAGTACAGAAACCCCAAAGCCGCTTCCTCCACTCGTTTGTTATTGTTTCTCTCAGGGCTTTTCCTCTCACAGCCAGGACTTTTCCGGAAGTTAACGTACTGTCAAATTCCTCCGCCACCGCAGGAAACAGAATTCTTCCGCCACGACACGGCGTCTGGCTATCCAGCCCTTCCTTCCTTCTCCCTTTCCGGGCAGCCCAGAGTCGCTCTTTCTTTCCTTGGCCGCCCAAGTTCTGCGCAGTCCAACGACTTCTCACGCCTCACCCTTACGAGTCCCACGGTCTGTCCTGTAGGAGAGGGTGGGGGCGGAGGGAGGCGGTCGGACTGAGGTAAGACGCTTTCTTCCGGCGCGGAGGAATGTTTAATGCTCCAGAGGGCAGAGGATCTGCTTCCGGTGGGGAGTGTCCAGTTTTTCTTTGTGTATAAAAGAACACAGAAACTGGACGGGCCCTAACCTTTGCCACCTGCCTGGGCGCAGGTGCTTCCTGACTTGTTTTAACCTACCCGTCTGCTTACTAACAAGTAGCCTTTCCTCCATTTCTCTCAGTCTCTTTTTTAGTCCTTTGACTGCAAATATCTTGCGGAAAAACCACACTCAGCCACTTTATACCCTCCAAATTGGTGTAGTCAGCGGCAACTTGTACTTCCTTGTCAAACTTTTTGAAATTGCTCGCTTAATCGCCTTTCTTCTTCAGACTGAAAGTTACACAAAGGCAGGGACAATGTCTCTGGTTTCCCCAGCCCCTAGAATAGTGCTTGGTGTATAGGAGGTGTGCAATAAATATCCATCAAATGAATCAATAAATAGATTCACGCAATAAATAAATAAACAGATTCACCAACCAATTCATTTTGTGTGTCATTACTCGTACTACATTTATCTATACCAAATTTTATTTAAGACTGTACCAGGATGTGACATTCAATATGTCTCCATTTGATTATAGCATCCACAAAGCTTAACGCCCAGTTACTCATAACCACCAGCCTAAACCCTATGTATAAACACTTTCGGAAGACAGTTCTGCTTAAGTTACCCTTTGTTGTATGACAAATCACCTCAAAATTTAGTGGCAGAAAATGAAAACAGTTTACTATTATACAAGTCTGTGGGTTGGTAATCTGGTATTCTCATGTCCTCAACTGGGGTCACTCATATAATTACATCATCCGAAAGATTGGCAGGATGGTTAATTTTATGTGTCAATATGGCTGGGCCACAGTGCCCAGATATGTGGTCAAACATTATTAGGGTATTTTAGGATGAGACTAACATTTAAAACTGGACCTTAAGTAAAACAGATTGCCCTCCATAATGTGAGTGGGCGTCACCCAATCAATTGAAGGCCTGAACAGAACAAAGGACCTTCCCTAAGCAAGAAAGAATTTTGCCAGAAGATAGCCTTCAGACTTGAACTGAAGCATCAGGTTTTGCCTGGTCTCCAGCCCACCAACCCACCCTGCAGATTTTTGGTTTACAATTCTCTATAATCAAGCGAGCCAATTCCTTTAAATAAATCTCTTTCTATATGTATACACACATCCTTTGGGTTCTGTTTCTCTGGAGAACCCTGACTAATATAACTAGGACTGGAAGGTCCAAGATGGCCTCACTCTCATGTTGGGCAGTTGGTGCTAGTTGTTAGCTGGGAAGCCTCATTCTCTACATGGCTTCCCATCTCACTGTGGTAGACTGGGCTTTTTCACAGCATAGTGGTCTTAGCATTCCAAGTGGATGAAAGTGGAAGCAAAGGCCTAAGGGCTAGACTCCAAAATGTACAAGATGACTGTCATATTCTGTTGGTCAGAGCAAATATTAAGTCCAGCCTAGATTCAAGAGGTGCTGAAAAAGACACCAATTCTTGATTAGAAGAGTAACAAGATCATATTACAAAGGGGTGTGGACACAAGAAGGTGTGATTCATTGTGTACAATTATTATAATGACTTACAACAAAGTATTAGATTTTTTATTACTTAAATCTGAAAAACTGCATTATTCAGAAAAAGGGAGAAATAATGGAATTCTAAGAAACAAATCACTGAAATAATTCATTTTATTAAACATTCAATTAAAATATAATGGTTTGCTTTAGAATCATTAATAGAAGAATGAGACTGTCATAGACCCCCTAGTATAAGCACAAATCCCTAAAAGCTTTGATTGATCCTATTTATTTCCTATTCTTTCAAGTTATACTTACTTATTATTTAATTTTAAACTGTCTAGTAGAGGCCATGCGTGGTGGCTCCCGCCTGTAATCCTAGCACTCTGGGAGGCCAAGGCGGGTGGATTGCTCAAGGTCAGGAATTCGAAACCAGCCTGAGCAAGAGTGAGACCCCGTCTCTGCTATAAATAGAAAGAAATTAATTGGCCAACTAATACATATAGAAAAAACTAGCCAGGCATGGTGATGCATGCCTGTAGTCCCAGCTACTTGGGAGGCTGAGACAGGAAGATTGCTTGAGCCCAGGAGTTTGAGGTTGCTGTGAGCTAAGCTGACACCAGGGCACTCACTCTAGCCTGGGCAACAAAGCGAGACTCTGTCTAAAAAAAAAAAAGAAAAGAAAATATTTGTTCCTAAAGGAGGGCTACTTAATTATCCTCTTCCATTGTCCTCCCTTAATCGAAGTATTGATCACTACTTTCCAATTAGATTATTTAAACCCTAATATTTAGTCGATGTCTACCTTCCCTCAAAGTGCCTACAGCTTGTTTTACCCAAAATATTAGTACCATTTGCTTGAATGTGATTTACATTTATACGATTTTTTAATGAATTCTTAATCACCTGTTCTTTTCTACTAAAAATTATTGTAAGGCAAGGCACTAAGTTATGAATGAATTTAAATACATTGTGTTCAGCAACGGCAGGCTGCAAAAAAAAAAATAGATACATTGTGAATTTTCCTGTTCAGTGACAAGACCATAGATATTTATCAAAGAATATCTTATTATTAATATTCCTTCTATGGAAATTTCATGTATTTTTCAATTTATCAAGGATCTTTCCTGGATTATTATTTCCTGTCTTTCCTGGATTATTATTTAGTTCTGAGTTTTAATTTTATATCCTATATTCCAAAGAGGGATAAATGACAAATTGCATTTATTCCCTAAAATAACTTGTTGAACCTTCAAAGTGTACTGTAAAAAATAATAATAATAATTTACCCAGGCAAAACATACTAAACTGTGTTTACCAAAATAATTGTGTAATTTGTAAAGTAATATACCAAGAGCTTCTAAATAAAAGATTGGGTGAAGTATTTGCTCATAATTGGTTTGGACTAGCCCAGATTTATTTTAAAGACATTATCAATAATTTTCTATATCACAGATGGCTTCATAGAGGACAAATGTGAAAATTAGGAGAAGGAGCCAACATTTCTTGAGAAGAGTTTTTTTTTTTTTTTTTTTTTTTTTGAGACAGAGTCTCACTTTGTGCCCAGGCTAGAGTGAGTGCCGTGGCGTCAGCCTAGCTCACAGCAACCTCAAACTCCTGGGCTCAAGCCATCCTACTGCCTCAGCCTCCCGAGTAGCTGGGACTAGAGGTATGCACCACCATGCCCGGCTAATTTTTTTTGTATATATATTTTTAGTTGGCCAATTAATTTCTTTCTATTTTTAGTAGAGACAGGGTCTCGCTCAGGCTGGTTTCGAACTCCTGACCTTGAGCGATCCGCCTGCCTCAGCCTCCCAGAGTGCTAGGATTACAGGCATGAGCCACCACGCCCAGCCGAGAAGGGTTGTTCTTCACTTCTGAGGGCTTAAATTTTAAGTTGGAGACCATAAATTTATGGTGATACTATTTCCCATTGTGAAAGTTAATTCTACAAATTGGATCTTGTCACACCCGACTAAATCAGAGTGGAGAAGCCAAGGGGAAAAAGCACGTGGAGTACATGGCACCAGCTCTAGAAGTTAAATTTTTCACAAACCCAGCTGCTGTAACCCTAAAACTAGTTTTTCCTAGTAATTGCTGAAACCACTTGCCCTGACTCTACTACTTGGCTGAGGTAGGAGAATCACTTGAGCAAGAGACCTAGTTTTCATGCTATCTAAAAGGCTTTCCATGTGCCTTACTCACTAAGCTTAACTATTTCTCGATTTTGATTTAAAGTGAGAGACATCTGACTCTTTCATTTGAATACTTAGAGACCATTTTAAGGTTTTTCATTGGCCTAGTTTCAATACTGTTGTGTCTCAGTGAATAAGGAGGCCTGAGGAGAAAAGAGAACAGGGGAAAGCTGGTCAGTAGGAACATCCACAACAGTTATGGATTAAGTTTGCCATGTTATATGGACATGGCTTGTGGCACCTCAAACAATTGTGATAATAATATAATGTTGGGTGCAGTGTGGCTCATTTGCGTAATCCTAGCACTTGGGAGGCCAAGATGGGATCCCTTGGAGGCCAGGAATTCAAGACTAGCCTGGGCAACATAGCGAGCCTTATCTCTACAAAATATTAAAAATTTAACCAGATGTGGTGGCTTCTTGGGCAGCTGAGGCAAGGCAGGAGGATCCCTTGAACCCTGTTGTTTGAGGTTACATGAGTGGTTATAGCAATGATCATGCGACTGCACTCCAGCCTGGATGACAGAGTGAGACCCTGTCTCTTAAAAAAAAAAAAAAATTCACTGGTCACAGATCACCATAATTGATATATTTTTTTTTCTTTTTTTGGGGCTAGACATCATCTTACCACATAATTGATATATTAATAATGAAAAATTTTTAAATATTGCTTAGGGCTGCCACAAACCTTCAATCTGTAAAAAATACAATATCTGAGAAGTACAATAAAGCAATGCGTAATGAAACAAGGTGTGTCTATAGAAAATGGCAAGTTCGATCTAGACATCCTTACAATTTATACCAGTGGGCCGGGGGCAGTGGCTCACGCCTATAATCCTAGCACTTTGGCGAGGCCAAAGTGAGAGGATCACCTGAGCTCAGGAGTTCAAGAGCTTGTCTTTATCTATATTAGGGGGGAAAAAAAAAAAAACAAAAAAACTTATACCAGTGAAGAATCCCAGCTTTTCCATAGAGGTAGCTGCAACTCTGAGACTAAAATGTCTTTTCCCCTATCCTTACACCTTGCTCTTTGGAAAGATAAGCCCACAACGGGATTTTGAACTTGCTTTTATGATTACAGCTAATTTCGTTACACCTTTCAAGAAAATAAAGCAGTGTCTACGACCTGACAAACAGTAGCGTTTAAATACATAATCCTCGGGCCTTAGAAATTGAATCTCAGGTCCTATGCTGGCTCTAAGCCTCCAGGTCATTGAATAACAAACTTTTCTTAGAATCTTTACTTTTTCAGACAAGCTTGTAAATTACAACACATACATAACAGTATGTACCATAACACGCTGAAGTACTCCCGTGAACCATTACATGATTATGCAGCGCATTTCTGCATCATTTTTCATGAAAACAAAGCAGTTGAACAAGCTTAAACTGGCGGTGCCCGGAACTCCTGCGTCCTGACCCCAGACATCCCAGTGCCAGCACCCGGACTAGCTGGGTTGCAGCCCCGCTACGTCATCCGCTCAGAGCCGCGCGCACAAGAAAAACTATACTTCCCGGCGATCTCTGCGCGGCGAGTTGCATGGTCAGGTGGGGCGAGTCGCACTGTGGGGCGGGACGAGGGGGAGGGCGTGCCTATGTGAATTACCGTCCCATTGGTACGCAAGCCAAAGGGCCCTGTAAACTTGTGGACGATTGGACGGATTTGTAGTGGCGCCGAGTCGCTACCTGATTTGACATTTGTTTTTCGGTTGGCTTCCCTGACGTTGAGTCTTGGAGTGCTGTGAGTACAGAGTTTCGGGTTTAGGGTGTAGGGGTTAGGAAAGAGGCCTTGGGAAGGAAATTTGGTGAGGGAGAAATAACTGCGGAAGCAATGCGGAAGAGTGGGACGTGAGCCTGGCATCTGGGTTCCTTAAAGGGGCTGGGGACCGGAAGAGGAAAGTTAGAATCTGCAGAGGGACATCCCTTGGGGCTGCAGGAGGATTGGGGGACTATAGCAATGAAGGAGTCAAGAACTGGCTGAAGTGGAAATAGGAGTGCAGGATTTGGACTTCCTGGAGAAGGGTTCTGGAATACCCTCACCCTACTCTAGTCTCAGCCTCAATTTCCTTATTTGTACAAAAAAGGATAGTTAAAGCTACTTAACAGAGCTAAATAAAATAATAAATGTCAAAAGTGCTGAACAGGCCGGGCGCAGTGGCTCACGCCTGTAATCCTAGAACTCTGGGAGGCCGAGGCGGGAGGATCGCTTGAGCTCAGGAGTTGGAGACCAGCCCGATCAAGAGCAAGACGCCGTCTGTACTGAAAATAGAAAGAAATTGGCTGAACAACTAAAAATGTACAGAAAAAATTAGCCAGGCATGGTGGCGCGTGCCTGTAGTCCCAGCTACTCGAGAGGCTGAGGCAGCATGATTGCTTGAGCCCAGGAGTTTGAGTTTGCTGTGAAGCTAGGCTGACGCAGACACCCCGGCACTCACTCTGGCCCTGGCAACAGAGTGAGACTCTGTCTCAAAAAAAAAAAAAAAAGTGCTAAACAAATGTTAATTGGTAGTAGACAAGCTATAGAGAATATACCTAAGCAAGGATATCAGAGGTGGGTGGATAGAAGCTAGCTGAAACCAATTAATTTATATATAAACAAGGACATTGTTCTTTTGGGAGATACAATGATGACTGAGACACAGTTTCTGTCTCCAGGGAGCACTATCATTGGAGAACTGATAGCAGCAAAGAACTCTAATATGTTAACTGTCTTTTAGAGAATTACAAACGCAGTTCTATTGCAGTTAGATCATTTTGGATGGAAAGGACTCAGGAAAGAGCTGAAGGAGGTAGTGGATGAGTTTTCATGGACAGACTAGATTTCATTAAGTGAAATTATGAGGATTGTGGAGGGAACTATGTTCCAGTTGGAGGGTAGCACATGAACAAAGGCATGGAGCTAGAAAGTTATTATATCTGGAAACAGAGAGTTCATTTAGGGAAGTAGAGGGAAATAAGACAGGAATGATAGGTTTGGCCCTTATATAGAAAGCCATGAATTCTAGTTCTAGGCTAAGGAGTTTGGTTTAATGCTTTAGGCCATGAGGAGCCATTGATGAATTTTATGATTTTTAAGAAAAATGGTCCAGGAGAGACAAGGAGTGAGCAGAACAATTAAACTGTTGTAGTAGTACAGGTAAGAAGGTATTTGGGAGGCGGTGTCTATTTTTCTTTTAAAAAAAATGTGTGTATATATATATATATATATATATATATATGTATTTTAGAGACGAGGTTGGTTATGTTGCCCAGGCCGATCTCAAACTCCCGACCTTAAGCAATCTTCCTGCCTCAGCCTCCTGAATAGTTGGGATTGTAGATGTGAGCAGTATTGAGATTCTGAATTAACATGGTCGTTGCAGTGATGAAATATACAAGATTTTCCTTTGGTTGGATGAAAGGTTCAAAAGAAGGAATAATCAAATGATGAATTTAAATTGCCAAGTTCAGGTTACTTAGAAATGCTGAATTAGTAAATAAAATAGGAAAATCAGAAAGTGCATGTTTGGATGCAAAAAGATGTTATATTAGGTTTACGAAATGTTAGCTTTGAGATGCTAAAATATATACATATATATATATATATATATATATATATATATATAACTTGAGTGATTTTTTTGAGTTAGATATTTCAGCTCCAATGGGACATGAGGGTCAAAATGTCCAGAACATGATTGGGAATTCAAATCAGGAGGATGAGAGAGATATCATTTAATCATTCAACATGTAGTTGTTAGTTACTCTATGCTAAATAGTGTTTTAGGTAATATAGATAATCATAAATGCGGTAGGAATGATGATGTTCCCAAAGAAATAGACAGAGGCAGTTGTAAAGAAAGTTGAAGATAGAGCCTTGAACTAGGGGTGTGAATTTTCAGTAATATAATAGCCTGTGTTTATTGAGTGCTTATATATGTCAAACATTGTCCTCAGCCCTTTTATTCTTTCATTTCATCCTTACATTAACCTATGACAGATAAGTAACTTAAGTTTGGAAAGGATAACTTGCTTGAGGCACACGGCTAATAAGGGGCAAAGCTTTGACTCAAATCCAAGTCTGTTTGATCTCAGAGCCCACACTCTCAACTACAAAGCAATTTTTTTTCTTTTTTTCATACAGGGTCTCACTCACTCATTTCAGCCCAGGCTGAAGTACAGTGGCATGATCATAGCTCACTGCAGCCTCAAATTCCTGGGCTCAAGTGATCCTCCTGCCTCAGTCTCCCAAGTAGCTGGAACTACAGGCATGTACCACCATGCCTGGCTAATTTTTCTTATTTTTGTAGAGATGGGATTTCACTATGTTGCCTAGGCTGGTCTCGAACTCCTGTCCCCAATAGATCCTCCCACCTCGACTTCCTAAAGTGCTAGAATTGTAGGTGTGAGCCACTGCTCGTGGCTAAAGCAAATCTTTTTTAAAAGGGTAGCTGCACTATCAAATTAAGCAGACAATTCACGGAGTAAACTATCAGATGAAGGAAGATGGGAACTGAAAAGAGCAATAGAATTTATTGATTTGTATGTCTGTTGACCAAGAGGAGCAACTTCAATTCAAATGTAGAAGCCAGATTATTAGAGACTGTAAAATTGAATGAGAGAGGAGGGTAGACAACATTTTGTAGATACACAGTAGTTGTAGGGAGGAGACAAAATAAGGACAATCACTATGAGGGAGAAGAGAGGTTGCAGGTTGTTAGAGGCTTTCTTAAAGTTCCAAATTAGTCTAAAATAGTTTTGGAACAGTGAAATTTAGCTTTAAGGTGTCACCCAGGCCAGGCATGGTGGCTCACACCTGTAATCCTAGCACTCTGAGAGGCCAAGGCAGGTAGATTGTTTGAGCTCAGGAGTTCGAGACCAGACTGAGCAAGAGTGAGACCCCCGTCTCTGCTAAAAATAGAAAGAAATTAGCTGGAAAACTAAAAATATGTACATAGAAAAAATTAGCTACTTGGGAGGCTGAGGCAGGAGGATTGCTTGAGCCCAGGAGTTTGAGGTTGCTGTGAGCTAGGCTGACGCCACTCTAGCCCTGGCAACAGAGCGAGACTCTGTTTCAAAAGAAAAAAAAAAAAAGATGTCACCCATATCCATTCAATAGAATATTATTCATCCATAAAAAGAGATGAAATAGTGATATATGCTACAACATAGATGAACCTTGAAAATACCATGCTAAATCAAAGAAGCCAGTCACAAAAAATCATATACTGTATGATTCCATTTATATGAGAGCCCAAAATAGGGGAATCTACAGAGACACAAAGTAGATTAGTGGTTGCATAGGGTGGGAGAGACAGATGAGGAGTGGGACATGGATGAAAGCTAAAGGATATGGGATTTCTTCTTGAAATGATGAAACTGCCCTAAAATGTACTGTGGTAATAGTTGCACAAAAGTATGCCTGTATTAAAAGTCATCAAGTTGTATGCCTCAAAGAAATAAATTTAATGGTATATATGTATTATATCTTCATTAAAATGTTTTTAAAATGTCACCCATAATATCTTCATACCAATTGCCATTTTTATTTTCTAGGTTATTTTGACAAGAGGCAAGTTGGCCCAATTTGGAGAAATTTTGTGGAATGAGGTGAGTCTAAAAAAGGAGAGTAATCATTTTAAAGGAGAAAATTAGGAGAAGAGAGGTGGCATATTTGAAGGGTTGGCTGTAGAAGAAAGCAAATGGGATTGGGAAACAGAAACAGATTTTTTAGCTAGGTTGGATAGGTGACCAGTAGAAGAAAAAGACGTTTAACAGTCTTTCAAATTCATATTGAGGATTTAAAATGTATATATATTTTTTTCCAGTAAATATTTATTGAGCACCTACTCTGAGCCAGGCACTGCATTAGTAACTAGGAATACAGCAGTGAACAAAACAGGTAAAAATCCCTTCCCTTAGTGAGTTTGCACAATCCAATGTGGAGAGACAGACAATAAATAAATAAAATATTTCAATCTGCCCCTAGATCTAAGGAAAGAAAATTAAAAAAATAATGTCAGATTGCAATCAGTGTTATGGAGAAAAGTAAAGCAGAAAAGGTGGATGAGGATGCTAGAGTGATCAGGGAAGACTTCATCAAGAAAGGGACTGTTGAGCCCTGAAGGAGGAGAAGGAGCAAGCCCCATAGGTAAATGGAGAAAGAACATCACAGGCAAAGAGAACTGCAGGTGCAGTGGCTCTGAAGTAGACATTTGCCTTGCATGTTTGAAGAACAGCAAGGAGGCCAGTGTTTTTGGAGCAGTGAACAAAGGTAAGAATAGCAGATAAGGTTATAGAGGTAATGGGGAGGCCAGACCATGGAGAACCTGAGTATAAGGCCATGTTAAACAGTTTGATTCTCTGAGTAAGGAGGAAAAGTCATTAGTAACTTTTGAGCAGAGAAGCTTTGTATTTTGACATACATTTTAAGGAATCACTGTAACTGCTGTGTTGAGAAGAGACTGCAAAGGATGAGGTTGAGAGTGGAAAGAGGGACCGGATAAGAAGTCTCTGTTGTAATCATCCAGGCAAAAGATAACAGTGGGTTGGCCCAGGGCAGTGATGGCATGAGTGAGGAGTAGTTGGATTCTGGATATTTTGATGTTATAGCCAATAGGATTTGCTAATGGATTGAGGGTAGCATGTAAGACAAAGAGAGGAGTAAAATTTTTCCAACCTTGTTTTTTTTTTTTTTTTTTTTTTTTTTTTGTTGTTGTTGTTGTAAGCAACTGGCAGGATAGAATTAGTAATTACTAGAATGTAGAATTCTGAGAGAAGACCAAGTTTTGGTGGTGGGAAGTATATATCAGGGGCTCAGTTTTGGACTTGTGAACCTTGAAAGACCTGTTAGACATTCAAGCGGGAACACTGAGTAGGCAGATGTATGAGTCTAGAGTAGAGGGCAGAGCCAGGATTGGAGGTATAAATTTGAAAACTGTTAGTGTATACATGGCATTTAAAACAATGGGACTTCATGATATGACCAAGGCAATGAGTAATGACCAGTGAGAGAGCAGGAAACCCAGGAACAGGTGCCCTGGAAGCCAAATGAGGAAAAGTTTCAAGGAATGGGGAGGGAAGCACTATGGTGTTCTGAGGAGAAAGATGGTATATAGAATTAACAGTGGTGATTATCTCTTTTCACACTTTTTCATAAAATTTTTCCCCAAAGGATTGAAGACTGAAACAAATATACACGAGGCAGAAGATCATAAGAACAGAACATTACATCATCACTTGATTTGTTCAGAATCAGAATCAGAATGGATTGACAAAGCATGCTTGATAAGAAGGCTTCCACCAAAGCTAATAAATAATCAATTTCTCTCTATCTCTCTCTCTTTTTGCTAAATCATGTAGTACATATTCCCTCCCCAACTGTGAGGTTTATCTTTCTGAAAATTTCTATGATAAGATTGTTTAAAGTAGAGAAACTCAAGATCTTATGTTATCATTGAGATGGAGGTTGTGAATGGACCTTTTGAAGTTTATAAGTAATTTTTTTTTTCTTTTGCTAAGATAAAATAATAGAGAAAGCATACCAGTAAAGATAATATCACTGGCTTTGTATATTCATCTTAAATTTGGCATAGTGGTTACTCTACCTTAATTTTCATTTACTATTTCTTGCTTATTAGAGAATTTTCTGCATCTCCCTCTCCTATATTTGCAGGGAAAATTGTAGATTTTTTTTTTATATATAGAAACAGGTCTCACTATGTTGCCTAGGCTGGGCTAGAACTTCTGGGCTAAAGTGACCTTCCCCTCAGCCTCCTAAGTAGCTGGTACTACAGGCCTGAGCCACCATGCCTGGCAGATCATAGATTTGGTTTTGGTTGTTGCAGATAACATTTATATTAATACTAAGGAGACTTTTCTTCCTGTGTGTGCTTATTTATTCAAATATTCAATGCCATTCCAATTTTTATTTGAAAATAGGTAGAGTACCATATGAAAATTCAAAAGCCATAAAATTTCAGAATTTGGAACCACTTTAAAGAAAACTACATTTTAAAACATCACATTCTTTCCAGGAGGCAAACAAGATGATGGAGAGGGAACCAGTCTATACATCCTATGTTGTTTTTTTCTGTTCCTGGCCCCTCATTATGAATTTTTGTGTATTTGATAGGTGTGAGAAAGACAGCATGAACTTTACCCCAGTACATACCCCTGTCTGCAGAAAGTAAGATATTTGCTTATTTTCGAATTGTTAAATAATCAAAACTTCCATAGCCTTAGTCCAAATTAGCATAGGAGCTGGAAGGGTATTGGAAACATACTTCCTAAATCTTGATTTGAACTGTATTGGATCTCATTTCTCTATTCTTCCGTTCTATGAAGAAATTAGATAAACAGTATATATATTACATGGTATACCTGGGTTCATTCAGTGTGCGTGCGCCTGGCACAGTGCCAATGGATACTAGATTACAGAGGAAACAACCAGCACACAAACATGGGATTTTTAATTCTGGTTCTGCCACCAACATGCTGCATAACACATCATCCTCATCTATCAGCACCACAGCTCTCTCCTCAGAAGGCTTCTTAGTTCCTCTGTTAACCTGTTTCCCAGAGGTGTTATAGGATAACTCCTTTGCAGACTATTAAACAGTATTTCTATTTCTAATAGAAATAGACAGAAATAAACAGTATTTCTATTTCTAATACTATTAATAGTATTTCTGTCACAAGCCTTTTTTTTTTTTTTTTTGGAGACAGAGTCTCGCTTTGTTGTCCAGGCTAGAGTGAGTGCCGTGGCGTCAGCCTAGCTCACAGCAACCTCAAACTCCTGGGCTCGAGCGATCCTTCTGCCTCAGCCTCCCGAGTAGCTGGGACTACAGGCATGTGCCACCATGCCCGGCTAATTTTTTATATATATATCAGTTGGCCAATTAATTTCTTTCTATTTATAGTAGAGACGGGGTCTTGCTCTTGCTCAGGCTGGTTTTGAACTCCTGACCTCGAGCAATCTGCCCGCCTCGGCCTCCCAAGAGCTAGGATTACAGGCGTGAGCCACCGCGCCCGGCCTGTCACAAGCTTTTAATGTGGAGAAAATGTTAAATTTTTACTTCATGCTAGTTAAGAATAAATTTTAATATCTCTATATGCTTATTATAATAGAATGAGCACATGTAGTAAGTACATTCACTAACTATAACTCAGGGCTTCTGGTATAAAGTTTCTCCATTCTACTGTCTATTTTGTTATGTTGTGAATTGCAGACAGCCAAACTGGATTGATTTTCATGTGTACCATTTGTACCATTTGTTTTCTACTTTTATTGTTTTTGCTCAAGTTTCTTCTTTGCTAAAAGCAAACAAAAAAAAACTTCCTGTCCAGCCTTTGATCTAAGTCTTTTGCCATCTATAACATCTAGTCCTAGTCTGTACAATTTAGATATCTAGAGATTAACATCTGATGTGGTTGTTCTCATTGCTATATGTCTTTTTTTATTTTTTTCTTTAGAAACAGGGTCTCACTCTATTACTAGGCTAGAGTGCAGTGTTGTGATCATAGCTTACTGCAACCTTGAACTCCTGGACTCAAGGGTCCTACTGTCTCAACCTCCTGAGTAGCTAGGATGACAGGTGTGCACCACCATGCCTGGCTAATTTTTTAATTGTCATTTTTTTATAGAGACAAGATCTCACTATATTGCCCTGGCCTCAAGTGATTCTCCAGCCTCAGCCTCCCAGCAGTGCTGGGATTATAGGCATGAGCCATTGCACCTGGCCTCATTACTATATGTTTTATAGTACTAAATTTTCTAATTGTTACTATATGGTCTTATTTAGTTTATATTATATTTTGTAAATGATATTTTTAGTCTCTAACATGTATTTTTATTTTTTTAGAGATGAGGTCTTGCTATTTTGCCCAGGCTGGACTTTTTTTTTTTTTTTTTTTCTTTTTCTTTTTTAGAGATTTACGGATGGAAGTACCAGGCTGGACTTGAACTCCTGGGCTGAAGCAATTCTCCTGCCACAGCCTCCTGAGGGGGTGTGCTATTGCACCTGGCTCTAACATGTATTTTGAATCTAGCTTTAAACCATTGATACTTGGAAAATAACTCATAAAATTATTCATTAACCTGTACTATCAAGCTTTCAAGATTTATAGCACCTTAATTATAAACACTTTAAAACATAAGCCCCTTGTTATTTAAAAAATTAGAATGTTTGATAAATGTTCACAGTTTAATGAATACATCTTTTCTAATTTTGCATAGGCTAACAAGTGTCTCCAAGCACAGTGTTGCCTCTGGCATCAGTGGTGCCACCAAGTGGAGGGAAATGGCAGAGTCAATGGAGTCTACTCCCTTGCCTTCCCTTGAAGATCGTCTGGCCATCCTCTGCCCTTCTCAGGAGCTTCTGGAATATTATCAAAAGAAGATGGCTGAGTGTGAGGCAGAAAATGAGGAGCTGTTGATAAAACTGGAACTCTACAAAGAAGCTTGTGAAGGACAGGTAAAAAAGAGATGATGCATGCCATTTTAGGATTCTGATAAGTCTACTCATTAAGTGGAGAAGCTCTAGAAGTGCTAGCTTGTATCACAAGCAGGTATTTTATAAAAATATTCTTTCTTGCCTGCCATGGTAGCTCACACCTATAATCCCAGCACTTTGGGAGGCCAAAGCAGGCACGTCACTTGAGGCCAGGCTTGAGACCAGCAGGGCAACATAGCAAGATCTGTCTCTACAAAAAAATTTTAAAAAAACATATTCTTGGCCAGGCGTGGTGGCTCACATCTATAGCACTCTGGGAGACCGAGGGAGGAGGATTGCTTGAGCCAGGACTTCGAGACCATGGGGCAAGAGCAAGATGCCTGAGCAAGAGCGAGACCCCATCTCTACTATAAATAGAAAGAAATTCGCCAAACAACTAAAAATAGAAAAAAATTAGCCGGGCATGGTGGCGCGTGCCTGTAGTCCCAGCTACCCAGGAGGCTGAGGCAGGAGGATTGCTTGAGCCCAGGAGTTTGAGGTTGCTGTGAGCTAGGCTGATGCCACGGCACTCTAGCCCAGGCAAGAGAGTGAGAGTGTCTCAAAAAAAAAAAAATATATATATATATATATATATTTTCTCTTTCGATATATATATATATATACATATATATATATTTTCTCTTTCGATATATATATATAAATATATATATATATTTATATATATATATATAAATATATATATATATATATATTTTCTCTTTCGATTCCTACCTTTTAAGTGTTATATTCGAGATTCACAAGGCCGCAGGACAGAGAGACAGAGTCACCGAGGCTGTAATTATCAAAAGGAGTTTTATTGTCTAGCTTGAGCTAGGGTCCAAGCCCCCAGAGTGCCAGCGCAGTGGACTTTTCTCTGGGCAGGGACCCTCCTTTGTGTGTTAGTCCCCTTTTTGTAACTTAGTTGTTTACACGCTGGTCATGCATCCGCCCCCACAGTAATTTTTACTTCAGCCTGCCCCTGATAGGCCCTAACCTGTTCCGGGTCCTAGCCGAGAGACTCAGGTTTCCGCTGTCTTTGTCTTTTTCCTCTACATCCCATAATATACTCATAATGCCTTGCGGTTAGCAAACAAGCAGTAAACAGAAGCTGGAAGGTGTCCATTGTCCTTATAGCCCAGGATCTTACATTCCCCCCTTTCTCTTGGTTCTTACGAGCATTCTTGCTCGTATCCAGGGTCTTGTATCTCTTCTATTCCTAAGCTGTTTTCTTTAAGACTCACCCTTTGGTATTGCTGCTGCAGTACCATTAACTGCACAGTATTTATTCGTTCCTTTATGAAAGTGACTAACCTATTCAAAATACATGGCCCAAAGGTGAGGATGAGCATGAGCACTATTATAGGTCCCAACAAGGTAGATAGCAGGGTAGTTAGCCACGGGGAACTGTTTAACCACGACTCAAACCATCCTTGTTGCTCGCGCTCTCGTTTTCCTCGGGCAAGTCCCTCCCTGACATTTGCCATGGACTCTCTAACTACCCTAGTATGGTCTGCATAGAAGCAGCACTCTTCTAGGGCCACACATAGCCCCCCTGGTGGAGAAATACTAAGTCCAGCCCCCTCCGGTTCTGCAACACTACTTCGGACAATGAAGTTAGGGATTTTGCTAAATGGGAGATGGACTCCTCAATTCTGGCTATGTCTTCATCTACGGCAGCCCTTAAGCTATTGAACCCCCTGTGCTGCACGGCCAAGGATGAGATGCCTGTCCCTGCTCCTATTGCCCCCAGGCCAAAAAGAGTAGCTAAGATTATTTCTGTGAAAGGCTCCCCTTTTTTTTTTTTTTTTTTTTTAATTAAGTCAGAGTCCTTTCCTTCTCTGGTCCAAGCAGCATAGACAGTGTCTTCTTGATGATAGATGACCTTAGGGAACACTAGTACCATATGCAGTATTCTTCAGACTCATTGAAGACTGATAGGCTTAGGCAGGGGGTTAGGCCTGTCTTTGAACAGACCCACCACCCGTTGAGTGCTGGGAGCAGCCATTTTATTCCACTGATCCGGTCTATGGTAGGGTGAACCTCGGCACTAAACTGCGAGTGGCTAGCAGGCACCTTTCCTATGCAGGTTCCATTTCCGGTGACTGTCGGAAGAGTCAGTCTCGATCTCTTGTGGTCCCATTTACAAGACTTAGGAATTTCTTCTCCTGACTGGCTAAAGGGGGTAGCTATTTCCACTACTTCATAGAAAGGAGGTCTGATACCATAACATAACCAGCACGCCTCAGTGAGGGCTGGTTCAGTATGGTTTAAAGTCTCATATGCCGCTATCAGCATGTTCCATAGGGAGTCCTCTGTTTCTTCTGCTTCAGGGGTGTTCTGACCTCTAGGGGTGACCTGACTTACAGTTTCTGCGCCGGTGAGTTGTGGAGAGGAGACTGTTGGTTGTGGAGTTGGTCTGTTCTGCTTTTTCCTTTTTACCTGTACCTCTGGGTTAGGCCCTACAGCGCCCGAGACGGGAGCCACTTTGAGTTTGATTTGTATTATGGAGCAGAGATATGGCCTTTGATAGAGGCATATTCTCCAGGATAGCCCTGACATCCACCTTTTATCTTTCTTTCCCTCTTCTGTAAATTTTACCCGTATCAGGTTACAGTCTCTGGCATACCTGTTTCTAGTACAAGGTTGGACATAGGACATTTTAATGAAAAGAGGTTATACCTGCCATTTCCACTCCCCATCATTTGTGGACACACACCACCATTTGGCACAATAATTACCTCCAATACCCCCACACTGACGGTTTTCCTGAAGGGGCCCGAATCCCGGACAGGCGTAAAACCCATTCCGGCTCATAGAGGTCCGTTCCAAGTCTTCCCTCCACGGTCCAGTTACCCAAGAACTGGGGATTGGGGTAGCAGTGGGGCCTCCCGAGGATATCGCTACTGTCTGTGCTGGCTTTTCTAGGGGACTGACTTTTTCTAAGTTGAAATATAAATCTGGCCACCAGGTGTTTAGTGGCTCTGCCCTTGAGGTGCTATTGTATACCTCATGGGTTTCTAAGTTCGTTATTTTCCATGTAAGTTTATATGGCAGCTGTGGGTTCTCATTATTAATTACAACTGCAAAACTTTGGTCCAAGAGCAGGATATCCATAATGCACTTGCATATGAAACATAGAACAATACCCAACCCCATCTTTGCAGCTTAGTCCCAGTCTTTGGGGTAACTAGTCCCAGTCTGAGTCCTAGCAGGGCAATCAGCAGTTCTATCAGAGTTTGAGTCAATAGTCTCGTTTACTCCGCAGACGCCACACGGGTCAGCCTGGTCTTTAGTGGATTTGTGAGGTCTGCTGTCCCCTCCACTCGTCCTGCTGTTGCTTCTGCTCATCCTCACCAGCCGGTCTCACGTGGGAGTGGTGGATCCAGGTTGCTACCCCGTCAACCTTAAGAGCAGTGGGGGTAACAAGAATAATTTGAAAGGGTCCTTTCCATTTAGGCTCTAGGGTTTTACTGTTATGCTGTTTTACCCACACCCAACCCCCTGGCTGGTGATGGTGATACAAGTGTTTAATACTCTCGCTCCTTGGCCCAGCTGTCTGGTAGATGGCCTGGAGGGCCGGCCACACTTGGCTGTGAACACATTTCAGGGCTTGTACAGCTTGCAGCACCTCTTTGGGGTGTTCCAGGAGAGCCTCAGGGCTCACCCTAGGGATTACAGGTGGAGGGGTACCATACATAATCTCAAAGGGGATTAGGCCCAAGTGGTAAGGGGTGTTCCGGGCTCGGAACAGGGCAAAGGGAAGGAGGGTGACTCAGTCCCCGCCAGTCTCTAGGACCAATTTAGTAAAAGTCTCCTTTAGGGTTCTGTTCATTCTTTCTACCTGCCCTGAGCTCTGGGGATTATATGCACAATGTAACTTCCAATCCGCCCCCAGTGCTCGGGCTAGCTCTTGACTGACCTGACTTGTGAAGGCTGGCCCATTGTCAGACCCTATGCTCTCCAGCAGTCCGTACCTGGGAATTATTTCCTCCAATATTTTCTTTGCTACTATTAAGGCAGTCTCTCCTTTAGTAGGAAAAGCTTCCACCCACCCTGAGAAGGTGTCTACCATGACCAACAAATACGTGTACCCATATTTTCCGGGTCTTGCCTCTGTAAAGTCTATTTCCCAAAATAATCCTGGTTGCCTTCCCCGCTCCCTGGTACCTGCAGTTTGCAAGCGGGTTGAGTCCGCTTGAAAGAAGTGCTTCTCCTAGGTCAGAAGTACAGATAGGATTTTTTTTTTTTTTTTTTTTCAGACAATGTCTTCTGCTATCTTTCCTTGTGATTTGAATCTGATTTGTGCAGTGTCCAGCAACTGTAGCATCTTCCTTTTTCCCAGATGCGTCATCTGGTGCAAGTGTCCTAGCAGGTGGTTCCCCAAGGCTTCAGGAACTACTAGGCAATGCTCTCCATCTTGGAGCCAATCATCCTTACTCTGTGTTGCCTGCAGTTTTTCTTTGGCCCAGGTTATATCTGTGCTGGAATAATCCAGTTGGGGGGGCATCTTTCCCATCCCAGGAGGTGGCAAACTCAAATATAGAACATCTGTTAGTGCTGGTTCCTCTGCAGCCCTTTTTGCCTCAGTGTCTGCAGCCCAGTTGCCCCGGGCTTCAAATAATCCCCCTTCTGGTGTCCCAGAATGTGGACGACTGCCACTGCTTTTGGCAACAAAATGGCTTCTAGCAACTGAAGTATTTCAGGCTTATGTTTGATTTCTCCACCCTCTGCCGTGATGAAACCTCTCTCTTTATAGAGAGCCCCATGTATGTGTACTGTCCCAAAGGCATAGCGACTGTCAGTGTATACAATCAGCCTCTTTCCTTGGGCCACGCGGAGGGCTTCCGTCAATGCCACCAGTTCTGCCTTCTGGGCTGATGTCCCCTGTGGGGATGCCCAGATAAGATTACCTCGTTAATTCACTATAGCCGCCCCCGCATACCTGTGTCCATCCCGAACAAAGCTGCTCCCATCGGTGAACC